TTTTTTTTTTTTTTTTTTTTTTGGTAATCTCTATGGATAAATTTTACCCTTTTGTACATTTCATTTAATCATTGAAATTGGATATGTACTTTTTTTTTGGGATAATTGAAACTGTGGTGATAAGATCGTTCACAATCGACTGCTCTGAAGAATACAGTTACCAATTTCATGGAGCCTTCTAGCTTCAGTAGAAAACGAAAAGAAAAAAGAAATAAGGAGAGGGTTTATGATAAACCTGCCACTGGTTCTTTATTGTCAAATACTCGGATCTTTTCATGGATTGAAGATATTCCCTCTCAGCATACGTGGAATCATAAGCGTGGTATCCCAACAAGAAAGCCCATACCTATATTTTATTTATATTATTGACAAGAAACAAAAACTTCATTTAAAAGATTATAATTAAAAGAAAGAAATAAAGAAAAATAAACGGAGGACTATGAAGTCCTTCAAAAAGTTGATCATAGACCAAATTCAATTAACTGCAATTAGAAAGAAAAAATTACAAGGAAGAATATACTCATTGATACAGAACTTCACTACCTTCATAGAAGACATACCTCTTTACGTAGATTATGCTCTACACCCCCATAAAAGATTCTCTTTCTCAAGGATTTTGAATCCAGAACTCGTCCCTCAGCATCCAAGAAAGTGGCCCACTAAAAATAAAAAACCATGTATGGTCAAACGTATATCCTGTTGCAAGTACATGGATGCAATATAATCTCTGTTTTTTTTTTTCTAATATATATATATAAGAAACTGAACTTTCAAGAGAAATGAAAGAATGTAACCCAGACAAACAAAAAAACAAGTCCATCAACAAAAGCCCCAAACTAATTACAAATACAAACCCCAGTCCAAAAGAATGTGATCAAGTTGGAAATTACAAAAAGTTAGATTGACGCCCAAGGAGACAAGTTACAACTACCCAACTACCAAAGCTCCTCATCAGACCTCTCAAACGCTATTCTACTATTCCTATCCAGCTAAATGCCTCACAAAATGATGAGAAAAGCCTGCCACAAAACTTTCTCTATGTTGCAAAAAAGGAGAGTTTAGGAGCATCCTCAATCATGGAACAACGCCTTCTCGTCCGGTCCATATCCACCCACAAAGGTTCTAAAAAACTAACTCCAAGGGGAGAAACAAACGAAAAATCTTATAGAAGATGGTCAAGGTCTTCCTCCTGATACTTGAAAAAGAAAAGAAAAGAAAAGAAAAAAAGCACACAACAAAGGAGTATCTCTGGATATGGTCCTCAAAATTAACCGAACACTCTAATTTCTTAAGCTCCTCATCCCTCTTTTCCCTCCCGTTTTAGATTCACTTGTAGTCCAATTTTTCAATTGGGCCAAAAGACAATCAACTTTCGGACTAGGTTCACCTCCACAAGGGCACTCTGGAAGAAATGATGGAATTAGGCACCTGGGAGGTACCAACTGTTGGCACTATTTGCATTCACCGCTAGCATGAAACAAAAGGATGACCACTGCCCGAGGAAACCCTAGTTGAACAGAACCCCAGTGGAAGAAGGTACGTGAATAGGATCTCTCACACCCTCCCCATCCGCTAACAACTAAACTACTCCACCTCTACCCTCAACCCAAGGCCAAGTTGCTTGCACTGAGCTAGAATCCCCTCCAAGCTCATCACATGAGAAGGCAAAGCACTTCTAGAAAGTGGGAAAGGGTTGGGAAAAAAAGGATAAAAGGGATGAGGTAAGTACCCAAAGGAGCTCCACCCCCACGAATAACTGCAATCCTCACCTTTTTAACCTCAGCAAAGGAAGGAGAAAATTCAAAAGAAGAAGAGGTGCATACATTAATAGCAGGGCCTTTCAAGAACACACCTAGAATTGGATAGGAAAAAATCTCAACAATCAAACTCGCCTCGTTGTATCCCCTGCTCAAACTGGTAACAACAATAGCCAAGGGATCCTTCGAAGGTATATTGTTGAGCATCCCAGTCCTTTTTAGCTTTTTGATCGAGTGAGTCTCTTGTCCCTCAACTTCCTTATGATCCACTACCAAACTTGAACCTTCCTCCTCAAATGTTGGAGCAATATTACGGGGCTCTTGACACTTCAAAATTGGGAAGGATAAGGACTCATCCTCCTAATACCTCCTTGTCAAAGGGTTGTAGTCTTCTATTCAGGTGAACCATGTCGACAAATCACTACTTTTGCCACTGTCAAGAAAGCCAATCTCACCGTTGAATTTACTTGAATCGCCTCCCCCTCTGCCTATTCTACACCTCAAAACAAGCCTAATTTTTCTCTTAGAGGAGGACCATTTACACTCTGAAAAAGTCCACTACAAGTGGCCCCTTCTTAAAAAATCTTTCATAGTACCCTCTCGGTTCTCCTAAAGGTCTTCACAATGGGATCTTAAAACATTAACAACCTCCAATTTGCAAACGGCTTCTCATATTCTCCACAGACCAAAGGAAATCTCGATAAACTTGCTAGAGTAATTAACCTTCTCAAACTAATCTCCACCTCAAGGCCCAAGCTAAACCCTATCAAAATCTACAATAGTATGATTTATTATTACTATTTTTGTGGGGCACCAACAGCCCAATAAGCGAGCAATATTATTATTTATTATGATGCACAGGAGCAGGCATTGAGTTTGAGTTGCATCACTGGCTGCTGGCCTCTTCGTTATTTAGAAATGTTGATAGGAGGTAGTCAATTGGTAGAAAAGAGGATTATGCATAGGCTAACAATTGGTAGAAAAGAGGATTATGCATAGGAGGTAGTCAATCACAAGCTTTTCATTCCCAATGAGATTTGTCTCTATGAAACATGATAAGTGTATTATTAACTCATCTTCAGATGATTGAGGACGATGGAGTGATTTTAACAAGACCACAAAAAGAAACATGATCTTAATTCTATTACTATCTCAACTTCAACAAAGAAATAACGAAAGAATGAAAAATATATTTACCTCTTCAGATCCAAGAGGAGGTTGTCGAGGCTTTCCCCACACCAGGGTCATTTTATCAAACTGCCAAAGGAATAAAAAGCTTGTGATTCTATATGCATAATATAATAATATTTAATTTAGTCCTAAAGTCACTCTAAACTATAAATAATTAAATGAAAGCAATAACATTTGCTCATAGTTGCATATGTTTATAGTAACTTAAGTATCTTAACTATTTCACTATTTGATAAGGTACAGAACTCAAACTAGAATAAAAACAAGGCGATTGCAGCAACACCATAATCTCATAACTAATAACTGGTGTCCAGAGTAAGTTAACTAAATCCACAAGACAAACTTGACCTTATAACACCTAAGATCATCTCGACAAAAAAAAAAAAAAAAAAATGAATGAAATAAAATAGCTGAGATCAAAAACCTTATAAAATATCGTGACTCTATGAAGGAAACTTGAAAAGGTGACCAACAATAAAACTCATAAAGTATAGATTTTCTTACTGTTAATCATAATTCCTTATATCCTATCCAGAAAAGAGAAAAAAAAAAACGCATCGGTAAAAGACTATGATTTTATACACTTCTCAAATGGTTAGAAAACCTGCAACCTGGCATTATGTGAGAATCCCTCCGTAATGACCATTTATGTTTTGAGGCATTAAATTGGAATTAATAAACCCTGCTCCGTAATGATATTGTTTTTTTTAACAATCATGCCAGGAGGTATTAAAAGAGGTCTTGTGCATCATTTTATATTTTGTTGTCCCTTCCATCTTTTTAACGTCAAATTGCCTTGAAATTCGAGCTTAGTTTGTTTGAAAGCAGATAGTTGCTTGGTTGCAACATGTTGGGAAGCTTATCTGCTCATAATTGATTAACTCAACAGTTCGCACGTAGATTGTAAGCCTCCTCCTGATTATTCTTCATCACATGCGAATTTTTAAAAATAATGTGTCCCCTACATGTCTGTGTCCTACATTTTTTAAAAATGGATGTGTCGTCATGTCCATGTATGTGCTTAGTCTCCAACCACCCTAAGAGCTTGGGGAATTGGTTAAAGGAATGTAGTATAAAAGGGGATAGCTCCAACTTATGGAAGCATCCTACTCACACACAATGCTTCTCTTGTTTGTAAGCTTTGGGAGAAGAAAATTTGGGAAATTCTCCTTTCGCCATTGTGTGGTGTTATTGTGCAAGCGGGTTACGTCCTTTTTTTTAAGTTCGTCTTGAGAGTCCTAGGCAAGTAGTAGGCTGACTAAGGGTAAGCCTCTAAGGTTGTACAGAGGACAAAAATTTAGTGGTGAGTTTTTGCCCATGACACTACGTGCTGACCATGTCATACTCATGACCGTGGAGTGCTGACCACCTTCCAGCATTTCCCAAAGGTATGCTCGCACACACCTCAGTTCCCACTTTGTATACCTCGGCTTGATCCAAACCTCGCCATGTTTCGCATTTCGCAAAACGCCCTTGTGACATGCACCATTTGTTATATCCCTCCCACGACTAGCATGAGTTCCAATGTCATTTACTTGGATACATCTAATAGCAAAAGCTCCCAAAAAGTAGTTAATTAATTTCTTTGGGAAATCTCACATGGAGGACTTTACACAAATAATATAATTTAGAAGAGAGTTCCCCACCTCGCTTTATCTCTAGATTGGTACTACCTATGCAACAAAGAACAAGTGCAATACAACTTGTTTTCTAGCCTGCCAACAATTATAAAGGGAAGGCCACCAAATTGCTAATAACATGCAAAGGTAGTATTCACAAAATAGTTGTCCTTGTGGTTTGAACACCACCATGCATCGTACGCTACAAACAAAAATCGAATCAATATTTGATTCTAAAGCATCTTATAAAAAATCTTCAGATTTCTATATTTCCAAGTTTTCCAAAGAAAAGCTCAAACCTAGTGGTTCTAAAGGATGTTATCTTTTCCTTTGAACCTCATACCTAAAAGAATTTCCACAAGCCAATACCCACCCACCTTGGAAAGCAACTAGATAAGCTACATTCTGATAAAAGGAACCTGATCCTTTACATTCTACCACACACAGAAGAAAAAAGAGAAAAGTTCAAATGAATGACAGTTGAAACAAAATCTCCTCACCTGAATAGGATCTTCAACAACAGGACTGACATTAGGAACTTTTTCTAAACCATTGGATGGTCTCTGAGGGGAATCAACAGAAGATTGATCTTGGATTCTCATCTCTGGAGCACTAAATCCATTGTTATGATTTTCACGAAATAGTTGTGAAGTTGTTTCTCGTGCAAATTTGGTGACAAGAGAAAATTTTTCCAGAATTTGTATTGGGAGGTCACGTGCTGGATCATGAAACTTTGGTCTTTGCTTACCACTGTACCGTGAAATTCGGGATCCTTCATCATAAAAATCTTCACCAGCCCTCTTGTCTGCACTTGATGGAGACTCATCAAGTGAAATGGATGAAACTGGTCCACTGGCTATCGGACCAGTCCTTGGCAGCTCCAAAGAAGACAAAGTTCTCTACAGATGAAAGCAAATTGGATCAGTATACTTGGATGATTAGAACGTAAAGAACTAATATAAAGAAGAAAATGCCACTACATTTGAAAACTTGAAGAGAAAAAAAGATAGGACCCATATATACTTAGAAATGAAAAGGATATGAATAAACGGCAAACAACCATGGAAATTGTCAATAGATGAGAAAGATACGAGTACCTGAAGAGGATCCTGAAAATCATTCACAAGGAACGTATTTGAATCTTCTTCAGACCTGCATATGTGCTGAAAATTAGAAAACTTGCAAAATAGGATCCGACTAAGAGTACAAAGTTAATTTAATCATAAATAATCTCAAAGTGAAACCAAGAAGTAGAGGAGATTAATACTAAACTACATATTTTAAAAAACATTTACACTCCAACCAGCGAAAAGGAAAAAAAACAAAGGAGCGTATAGAAAATAACATGCAAGATACTTTTACATAAATAAAGCTTTCACTGGAAAAGTTTCTGATGGTGGCCTCCTCCTGCCCATCTCCTCTATCTACTCTCCCCTAAAATTCTCTTCCATTTTGTTGAAAACACTTTTCCTTAGACCTTCATGATGTGAGCTTTGTAGGAAGACATGAAAAACAAGACCACCAATTCATAATTGTCATCACAACAGCAAGAGTTGGAGACTCGTATTACATAGTTTCAACCAGTCTTTGATTATCCAAAGAGCAGCAAAGGAGCTTTTTTTTTAATCAATGGGATAGTTTTTCTAATTGTCCAAGGGCTTAGGTGTAAGAAAAATGCATAACTCTCCTTTAACCCTCCCGTGAATTTTTCCCAGTTAATCAAATGCTAATCAACCAAAAACACACACCAATTGGCATCCGTGCATAGGTTATCTGCTGTATGAAATCTTGGATGCCTAGTTCTTCTTTAACCTTCTCGTAACTTTTTCAGTGTTAATCCAATGCTAAATATCTAAAAACAAGCACCAATATGCATACATACAAATGTTATATTTGTCTGAACTCTTGGTTTTATAGCTTCATAAGTGCCATATTCCTGCTGCGTTTTTTTCCCCTTTTTCTAAGAGGATAAAATGAAAGAAAGAAATTAATGGTACAAATTACAAGAACAAACCTCACAAGAAAAACATGTTGCTTTACAGTAGCAAGAAACTCCCGAACTCCTCCATTGTAAAAATAAAGAGGTGGAAACGCAAGTCCTGCAAATCATTCCAACCATGAGCAGATAGAATTATACCATGATGAGAGATTTGGGACACAAAAGATGAGATGTGATTAACAATTAGGTATAACATGTAATAGTAGCAGCATGATTCATTTACTGAAAGAACATTCAAGACTGCAGCATAAGAAAACTTTATGGAAAATTCTAACTAAGCCAATTTAAGAAACATAAAGAACTCCATTGACAGTACAATTCTATTTTGAAATAAACCGAATAATATACTTTTTAGTTTGCCCACAAAAAAACATTGTTATATGAAATGGAATATCATTACAGAAATGGTTATATGAATCTATCTGACATTTTGTTGAGTAGATCCATCAATACCTTTTTCTAGAACCATTCTTTTAGTTGGAAAAAAAATGCTAAATCTACAAGATGATCCCTATTCTTTTAGTTTTTTGGAGAAGAAATAAGAATTGTCATGGTTACATATTTTGAAATAAATTATCATTAAAGAAATGGTAATATGAATCTATCTGATAATTTGTTCAGTGGATCCACCAAACTCTAGTACCTTTTGTAGAACTATTCTAGATTGGGAAAAAAAAATGCTAAATACATAGAATGGTCCCTATTCTTTTGGTTTTGTGGAAAACAAGTAAGAATTTCTCCAATGAATGAAATTTACAAAAAGGAAGAAAGTACTTCGAAAAATCCACAGTGAATTACAAAAGAATTATGTTAAATAGCTATAAGGTTAACCAAATAAAGTAAAAAAATTCTTGTGAACACTTTTGACAAGTTGCAGAGAAGGTTCCTCTAGATTCATTTATCCCCCAGCTGTTGTATCCTTAGCAAATTGGATGAAGAGACCAACAGACAACGTTTTTTCACGTGTCCTGTGGCAAGAGCCTTCTGGATTTCCTTTTGAAAGCACTTTTGGTTGGGGTTCTGTTTTCCAAAATAGCGTGAGAGATTTTCTATCTTTCAATCTTACTGGCATCCTTTCAAGAAAGAGAAGAAGACCCTTTGGCTTAACTTAAATGACAAGGAACAAAACTTCCAAGCCCTTCTCCCCTCTATCATATTTTTGTGCATCTTTTTTGGTGTAAAAGTGTTCACCCTTTAGTAACGTTTATCTTCTTCTCTTATATCCCAATGGGATAGCTTTTTCTTTTTGTATGTTCATCCAATCAATAAAATGATTTCGTTTCATATTAAAAAGGGGTTAGTGAGACTTTAGTCCTTGAAGGATTTTGAGAATTTGCTCCAACTAAAAGAATTAAAGAAAACCGAATCACATCTTGTTCCCCTCTTTCCATAGTCCATACTCTTACAGGAAAATTTCATTTTAACTGTTAGTATACTAAAATTTCTCAATTAGGTCTTTCCACAAAGAAGTTAAAATTTGTTAACATATAGTTGAAAAATCATTAAATTCTTGCTTTATCGACATATTTAGGCATGTGAAGATGTCACTCGGATACTTGACACATAAAATTCAACCTGCCCCTCAGCAAAAACCAACCCAATGATTGACAAAATTCATTTATTTCAAGTCACATATCCATGTGGCATAACCGCCTACTAAATATATTTTAACGATAGACGCATCAGTTTTGTGTAAAAAAAAAATTAACAAACCTTTTATAAAACTTTTAAATGTAAAAATTTGAGAATTTTAAACCATTATTGACCTAAACATTTTGAAAACTCTTAAAATTGTAAAATTTCCACGTTCTGAAAGCTAGACATTTTGAAAAGACAAGAAAAATTAGTTTGTGAAAACTTTTTACTTCTCCAAACAGATTCAGTTGCAGTAATAAAATTGTTCTCAGACTTGCAAAACAATGTGTCTTCCATTCTTAATTTATCCATTTTTTCTGAAGTGAAGCTTCCAAGATATTTTCTGTTACATATTTTTGCTTCTCCTCTGCAATAAATGATTGGGGTTTCTAAACTTTATTTTCTTCTTTTTTCTTCCTTCTAAGACAAAAGAAGAAAGACCTGACGGTAAATGAAGAAATGGAACTAATTGTGGACTTCTATGGAGTCTTCTAGTTTTTTTTTTCTTGAGTTCTTTCTCTTTATAAGTTGAGAATCCATGCTAGAGCTGCTCTAGTATTTCATGTCAAAAACTCTGGATACTAATATTTTAGGAAAATATAGATTCACCGAAGTTGATACAGCTGTTTTAGCATAGATAGATAAACGTTGAAACTAGAACAAATATTACTTTAAAAGGCATCTGAGTTTACCGCATCAATTGACAATGTTAGTTCAAGAACACTTTAAACTTACATCCCAGAGAAACTGGTAATTCGACAATAATATATGAATGGACAGCGCACTTAGAAAAAGGAAGGAGAGCACAAATATGGTTACCTGACGACAATACCACAATAATGTACTGCCAGCCAAATGCTGGAGTATGGCGACGGATAGACCTGACTTCAGTGAACGGTACTGCTCTGATGGTGTAAAGATTCTTATCTACAATTAAGAAGTACACAATCAGTAATACAAAATTTCGATTTCGATTACAATTCCAAAGCCAACTACCTCTCTCCGATAATTTTGCATTTGAGTTTTGTCCTTTGTAAGGAATCCATGTCTGCGATTAAATACAACACAGATTCCGAGTCAACACCAGGTGCATATCCAGTAATGAACGAAAATCAAAATACAGATTTCTCTATCCAAATCAAGTACCGATCAGACATGCTTACAATGAACAGACACGATCCTTGCTTGATCAACCTCAATCTTCCACTAATCCTTTCAGATGCGAACTGCGTAGGATGAATTGTCACATTTTCTTTAGAATAAACAACTTCCGTTTCTTCAGGTTCGCTCGATGAGCTTCCTCGACCGCTATCGGTCCGCATCATGCTTACGGAACCCTAAAATTCAGAAAAACAAAATCAAACGGAGAAATGACACGATCTGATGAATTTAATCCATCGATGCAAAATAATTAACAGAGTGTGGCAGAAGAAATTGAACCGCGAAATGAACAAAAACAATCAATTCCGACATACTTGCTGCTGTGAGGCTGCATAATCGGCATCGTCAGACAAATCGTGAAGGTCGGTTTCTATCATCGTCGTCGGGGAAGCAGTTGCTATTGCATCGACTTTCAGATAGCGGCTGCCTATGGCTCTCGCTATTCTTTGCTTTTCTTCGTTTTGCTTTTCTTCTGGTTTGTTTTCTTTATTTCTTTTTTTTTTTTTTTTTTTTCTT